TCGATATCGAAGCCATTTACTAGCATGCATAGGATTGTAGTTCAACTAGATGGGTTATAGCTTTCGATCTCAGGAATATCAGAATACAGAGAAAAAGCTGTTCACTGCCTCTACATTTTCACTGGTCTTCTGGTTGATTTGATGAAAACCACGTTGAAACCGATCCCCAATTTTTTCAAATTCCATCTAGAAAGCTGAAGCAATATGATAGAAACAAAGCACAACAGTTGCATGTGACTACACCTTATCCCAATAGTTATCTAACCAGTAACATAATAAAAAGTGTTCACAGAAAGCAAACACGATATCCATTAGTGGTGAAAACGAACAGAAGCAGATATGGAGTAATCGTCAGTCATAACGACCAATTTAAGAAAGGTTAATAAATGGCAGCACATTGTCCCAATTATATACACAATTCACTGAAAGTTTCTCGAGTAAAAATAATTACAGGAATAGGAATAAAAATAAAGTGTTATTGCTTGTATTACACCGTCGTTGACTGGACCGAATTGATCAGGCTCTGTTGGCATATGGGCTCCTACGCGGATGCCTCGATATTGCCTGTCTTTTAACTATGTATAGTAATGATATGCAGTGGTTAGCAGTGGAATCCAGGATGCCCATTTCGTCCTATTTGGGACTTGTCAGACAGCCAGTGCCCATCGTTACTATACACAGGAATAAAAATGTTTTCTAACTTAAAATTAAAACACTACGTAGGTAGGTTATAAAAATAATCAGCAAAACATTGTCAGTTAATCTCGGTCAATATAAGTGCAAAATTTAGGCGATGTAGTAGAATGTTATTCCATATTGGATTAGTCCTTTCTAATGTAGAACACACAAACAAAATATTATTTACTTGATGACATCTCAAGCAGAAACCATTACTCACAACAACTTCACTGTAATCACAACATATACGAAACTCATACCACTGTCACCTCATATTCTCCACTTTTAATGGTAATCAACTTCTCCTTATCACTGAAAAATCAGTGTAGCATCATCCCGATTACATGTGTTCCACGTTGATTGCATGGACAGAGATCATTCAACAATCTCTCTCTCTCTCTCTCTCTCTCTCTCTCTCTCTCTCTCTCTCTCTCTTACTTCTCCATCTAACCATACTGAACTTGAGTACTGTGGTTTCATCCCACACATCCCACTGTGTGGTTGTGTGTTAATGCATACATTGCAATAACCGACTTACTTTCTACATTACTGATCTAATCCAGATCTGTCATTCTATGTTTAACTAAATTCCTATGTTCAGCTAATCTAACTGACCCAAATTGACTACTTTCATTCACGTACCTGATCTCGGAGTGATTGAATGCAATTTTGTAGATTAGAGTGATTTGTGTAATTGGATCTATTGGATGGTTAGGGCACCGGACACAGCTTATCTGTGAATGACAGTGTAAGTTAGAATGCTACTCGAATTCCATGCTTGTTGAGAATTCTGAGTAGAGTATTTGATGCTCCTTCCTTACATTTGGTAATTCGAAGGAGGCATTGTACTGCTTTTACTCGTGTTGTCGCTACTATTCGCATTCGTACTCACATTGCTGTTGTCATTTTGTTTGTTATGTTTTGTTAGGAATTTGTTGATAGACTGTGAGAGATGATTATTAATTATGCATAGAAATGATGGGGACAACGTGGGTCGAAATAAGTTGAAAGTGTCAATAGTGTTACGAGAAGTGAGGAAGGAGCATCGAAAGCTTTACGTGGTATTCTCAACAAGCATGGAACTTGAGTGGCATTTGAACTTAGACTGTCATTCAGAGACAAGGTGTGTTTGATGGTTTAACTTTCCGATAAATCAAATTAGGCAAGGTAGCTAAATCTTCTAGGATCTTTCCCCGGATGCAGAGTATCCCCCTCTTCTCCCTCTTCACGGTTTTTTGCATCATTCAGTCCACTACAACCAAGAAGATCCTGGTTGATAGATAGTAGGCGGCCTTGTCTTACTCCTGTCTTCACTTCACTTCAGAGGTACCAGTGAGCTTTCCATTGTCAATCACTTGGCATGTGGCTTCTTCATGTAATTGCTGAATGAGATTGATAAAGTTTTGTGGTATTCCGTAGTGTTGAAGCAACTGCCTGTCAGATTATTACTTCTCGTTCGATGCTGTTGAAGGCATTTTCAAAGTGGATGAAGTTGAGGTAGAGTTTGTTTGACTTGCATTCTATGCTCTGTTCTCTGATGGTGCGTAGCGTAGAGTTGCAATTTGGTCCCTAAATGATTTTGTACTTCCTCAATCCAGCCTGTTGCGGTTGTAATTTTGAATGGAGAGCATTTTTAGTCTCTGCAGGATAATGTGACATATTATTTTGCTTTAGGTGGAAAGGAGCATGATTCCGCGCCAGTTCTTCTAAAGGCTTAGTTCTCCCCTCTTTGGGAGTCTAACCTTACATCCTTTACCCTGAGGAATTTATTCAGTTTATTCGTGATATGTCGGATTACTTCATCTCTGGAAGAAGGCTGCTGCAATACTGATCTCATTTCTCTTTCTCTTCCCATGTCTGTTATTTGCTCCACGCTTCGCATACCATAAAAGACGAAATACACGAGTATTTGTGAATCATCCTCTAAGGTATAACAATATACTCAGTCACCTTCAATGCAAATAGAAACATTGACGCACAGTTTCGAAATTAGATCAAAAACTATTCTCACCAGCAGAAAGAATCACAGTTTTTTCATCAAATCAATAGCTTGGGGTTTGCGGTTTATTCCAAAAGTTCACATATATACACAATTAGTCCCTTTAATAATTTTCGATAACGCTATTAGAAGACGAAGATTATCTGAAAAATGTGATGTATTTGCGCAATACATTTCGAACAATCTGATCACACATTTACTTGTCAAGTCAAATTATATATGAAAATTAAAGGTCAAATATAGTGAATATGAAAAGGTTGTGACACTAGTCTTGGTAATATAATCAGATAAGGGTTACCAAGGTAAATTAAGTGAACACATCCCCAAATGGCTAGAAAAACAGTTTAACACACAAACTTTGATAAGTGCAGGTGACAGACATCCATCGTCATCTATAGCAAAACATATTATTGAAATGAATCACAGGGTTAATACGAAAACAGCGTTTAAGATAATATACAGGAATAATCAGGGGCGCATACTGAAGTTTGCCGAAGCGTTAGCCATTCGTAAACCTAATCCCCCGTTGTGTGTACAAAAACAGTTTATTGTTTCACTTAATTTACCTTGGTAACCCTTATCTGATTATGTTACCAAGACTAGTGTCACAACCTTTTCATATTCACTATATTTGACCTTTAATTTTCATATATAAATTGACTTGACAAGTAAATGTGTGATCAGATTGTTCGAAATGTATTGCGCAAATACATCACATTTTTCAGATAATCTTCGTCTTCTAATAGCGTTATCGAAATATGTACACAACACTGGTGTACTTCAAACGACTACCACCTGATTCTTTGTTTTTCACTTGAACAAAGTGAGTGTAAGTAATCTACGTTTATCCTAAAACAACCATCACATACGTTTTGCAGGTTATTAACTGCATCTTCAACTTCTTTCCAGTTGCAGAAGTAATTTGATAGCACCAATTTCTCGAATAACCTCGCCTGGTTAACTAGTTTACTAGTTACTAGCCGGTCCTAAGCCCGGGTACACAGGGAAGGTTGGGCATACACCTAGCAACCCTACCCCGTAAAACAAATCTAACCGCTAAAGAAACTTCAAAGCACAAACAAAATATAAAAAATGAAAACAAACTTATTCCCCGCTGGAATCGGAGAGGCGAAATGACGCCAGTTGGTGAAAGCCTTCGGGAAGCCAATTGGCCGATGTGTCTTCTCTCGATGAAAGCGAAAGTAAACGTGGGGACATGGAATGTCCGCACGATGTTTGAACCCAGTAAGGCAGCCCAGATTGCAAAGGAGATGAGAAGGTATCACATCGAAGTGCTTGGGATTTGCGAAAGCAGATGGAATGGGAGTGGACTCTCCAAACTGTCAACTGGAGAATCAATAATCTACTCCGGTCACCCAGACAACAACCACGAGCACACTGAGTTATGGAGTGGCTATCATGATGTCCTCAAGAGCATCGAAGGCTCTCATGCAGTGGGAACCAATCTCCTCCAGGATCATGACAGCAAGATTCAACTCAAAAGGAAGAAAGGTCACAATCATACAATGTTATGCACCTACAAATAATGCAGAGCAAGAGAAAAAGGAGGATTTCTACAGACAACTTCAATCAACACTGGACAAGACGTCAGTTGGCGATATCAAAATTCTGATGGGCGACATGAATGCCAAACTGGGAGGGGACAACACGGGAAGAGAACTAACCATGGGTCGAGAGGCGCTAGGTGAAATGAATGAGAATGGAGAATTGTTTGCAGAATTCTGCGCATTCAACGATTTGGTGATTGGAGGCAGTGTGTTCAGGCACAAAGATATCCACAAAGCGACATGGATTTCACCAGATGGACACACTAAAAATCAAATCGACTTTATCTCAATCTCAAGAAAATGGAGACGCAGTCTACTTAACCCAAGGTCAAGAAGAGGAGCAGATGTAGGTTCAGACCACTCCTATCTAGTGCAAGGAACCTTCCAAATCAAGTTAAAAGCCTTCAAGGAAGCTGGTGATAGACCTCAACTCAAGTACAACACTCGGAAACTGAAGGATGAAACTACAAAGGAGATCTTCACGTCAGTCAGCCATCAAGACAAAATGGGAGACATCGAGGGACATCCCTGAAGAAACCTGTGTGGAAGAACACTGGAAGTCTTTGAAAGCTATGTGGAAAGAAACCTGCACAACAGTATTAGGAAGGAAGAAGAAAGAAGACAAGGAATGGATCTCGACGGATACCTGGAAGCTGATAGAGGAGAGGAGGATGGTGAAGCAGAAGATAAACCAGTGCAAGGATGCTCAACGACAAGAGGAACTGAGCACAATGTATAAAACACTACACTGGACAAAGAAGTGAAGAAGAGTGCACGCAAAGACAAAAGACACTTCTACGAAACACTGGCAAGTGAAGCAGAACAGGCTGCAGGTAAGAGAGACCTGACGACATTGTATCAAATAACCAGGTTGCTATCAGGGAAGAGACCAACACAGATGAAACCAATAAAAGATGAAGAAGGAAATTTAATTACAAAAGAAGAGAAACAGAGGAAACGATGGGCCGACCACTTCAAGAAGCTCTTGAATCGACCACCACCACCACCTGCACTTCGTCCAGAAATACCACCTGCAGCCGCTGAACTACAAGTGAACATTAATCCCCCAACGAAAATGGAAGTCCTGAACGCCATAAAGCTACTGAAATGCGGGAAAGCAGCAGGACCAGATGGAATACCGCCAGAAGCACTGAGAACAGATGCAGAGACAACAGCGGACATGCTCACACCACTATTGCAGAAGGTGTGGAAGGAAGAGAAGGTACCTGCAGAGATTGGAAGAAGGGTTACCTTGTCAAACTGCCGAAGAAGGGAGACCTCAGTGCTTGCAAGAACTGGCGCGGAATCACTCCCCTGTCCACCCCAAGTAAAATATTAAGCCGCATCATCCTGGAGAGGCTTAAAGATGCACTGGATTCAAAACTGCGACCGGAACAGGCAGGCTTCAGGAAGTACAAATCATGTGCAGACCAAATTGCAACGCTTCAGCATCATCATAGAACAGAGCATAGAATGGCAATCAGCTCTCTACCTCAACTTCATCGACTTTGAGAAGGCCTTTGACAGCGTCGACCGAGAAGTAATTTGGAAACTGCTTCAATACTACGGAGTACCGCAAACCTTTATCCGCCTCATTCAACAACTATATGAAGATGCCACATGCCAAGTAATCCACAATGGGAAGCTCAGTGATGCCTTTGAAGTGAAGACAGGAGTGAAACAAGGTTGCCTACTATCCCCCATGATATTCCTGATTGTACTGGAATGCATTGTGCAACGAACAGTAGGCAGCGAGAAGAGGGGGATACACTGGCGACTGCGGAAAAGAACCTAGAAGACTTGAATTTCGCCGATGACTTATGCCTAATGTCACACAAACTTGAAGATCTGCAGGCAAAAACTAACAAGTTGATAGAAGAGGCAGCTAAGACGGGACTTCAGGTGAATATAGAGAAGACAGAGGTGATGAAGATACCGCACCACCACCATCAACAACAACAACAAACTCCAATCACCGTCAACGGGAGAAACTTGAAGGAAGTAACCTCCTTCACTTATCTAGGAAGCACTGTTTCAACTACAGGCGGGACGGACGAGGACGTCAAAGTCAGAATCGGAAAAGCAAGACAGGCATTCATTAGCCTGAAACCAGTGTGGAGATCTTCTGCACTCAGCATAAAGCGTGAACAAGATACGGATTTTCAACACCAACGTCAAGTCAGTGCTCTTGTATGGCTCAGAGACTTGGCGCGTCACGAAAGGTATTTCCAATAAAATACAGACATTCATCAACAACTGCTTACGCTTGCTGCTGAAGATCAGATGGCCAGAAAAAATAAGCAACAAGGAACTCTGGGAACGAACCAACCAAGAACCTATCACCCAACAAATATGCAGGAAGAAGTGGAGATGGATTGGCCATGCACTGAGAAGGCCGACTGAGGACATCACGCGTCAGGCCAGTTGCTCGAGTGGAATCCCCATGGGAAGCGACGAGTTGGACGTCCGAGGGTGATATGGAGGAGGTCGTGCGAGCAGGAAATGAGAGGTTGTGGGCTGTCGTGGGACCAGGTTCAAAAGATCTCAGAGAACAGAGGTCACTGGAGGCGTGCTACTGAAGCCCTATGTTCCACTAGGAACCCAAGGGACTAATAATAATAATAATAATAATAATAAATATAATTTCTCGAATGCTTTAGTTAAGTCTAATGAAATTGCAGTATTTTTGAATGTAATACTTCATTTAAAATACTGATTATTAATAACTAAGTGACAACAAGAAAATCCAGTAGCAAGCTGATAGAAAGAAGTTAAAATGTGTAGAAGTGTTGCACAGCCCAGAATGATTCATTAAGTTTAGAAACCTACACGTTTAGAGCCATTACACCTTTCTTAGTATGCAATAGCTGGCGCTTGGGATACAGATTTCAATTTCTGTTTACGAACATGCAAATAATGAAAAATACAGCACTCGGTTACCTCCAGTCGGCGGATAGTGGTAATTATGACCACCACAATTTCCACTTATTATACCATACTACCTACACTGAAGCCTATTCTTTAAAACGTCCACCTGCAAATGGTTAAATATGAAAGCCGGTTTCTGTTTTGTCATTCAAGGTCGACTGGAAACGGAGGCAAGTCACACTCATTTTGGGGATAACTTTTAAGCTACACTCTAGTTCTGTAGCTATGAAAGAACAGATTTACAAATTCTTCAGCTCTACAGAATTATCCAAACGTTGTTTTATGTGGCTTGGTTGTTGTTAAACAGGAATGGAGGATTTCGTAGGCTGCTCCCCCCCCCACCCCCTTAATGTAAAAATATTTAATCATTGATACAGTTTAACCTGTAAACAAATTTCTGTGAATGTCAAAACTTATCTGTATTTAATGGTATATAAAGTATTCCTTAAAGTGTCATTTGTTTGGTAAAATGCTCAAACTAGGCGTTTTATGAAAGTCTTTAATAACGTTTACATTGATCCCTTGGAGGAAAGGTAGAACTGACCTGCTTACTCAGGATTCATCATTTTGTTTTTATCTTGGACTTTGTTCTTATGGTTTTAATCATCTGCACGATATTTTCAGGGTAATTATTGGAATTTAGGACCTTAGTTATGTTAATTTCCCTCCACCTTTATGTCTCCTTCACCCGTAACAAGCTTCGTCATCCTTTTGAATAAGTTAAGAGTTAATGAAATTTTAGTGTTGAATGGATGCATTCAGGTGATACTAGGATATCGATTCGAATATGTTTTGTTTTCGTTAGGCTGAGGTGAACTGTAATTCCTACTTTCATTCTTATTAGCTTAACAGTCTAAAAATGGAAGTCCACCACATTAACTTTCCGATTTACCTGTGAATTTTATCAGCAACTTGATGGAGATATTGAAAATTGTCTATTTAATGTGAGACGTGGTGAAATTTGCAAAGATACATGATACGGGATCGCACATCACATATGCATGTGTCCGTCTACATAATTGTTTCTCTGGATATGAATTCAAACTGATTCAAAGGAGATTTGTGCGAGAGTATGTCATAACCGATTTCTTGAGTAAATATTTGTTTTGTTATTCCACTTCCAGTGACTAGGAAAGTACTTTGATTGGCTGAGTGACCGACTAGATCTTTGATTGCCTCCCTGGTAATTGTGCGTTTCCTATGTGTTAATATGCATAATGAATATTGACTTACAAGAGTGATAAGCTTCTTAATTTCTCCCAGCACTGCTTGTGTTTTCTGAACTCGCTATTTTCATGTACCTTCAAATATTGTCTGTGTGGATTGATTTGAACAAAGATAAATCAAAATTTTCAGCTGATGCTCATAAACGCCCACAGGAAGTGGGTTTTTCTCCCATCTACTATAGTCTGGTTTTTAATTGGTTCTCGGCTTGTATGCACATTATGAAGTTAAATGGGTTCATGGATTTTTGATATGTAACGGTTTTTAGGCTCTCCAATAATCTCGTTAGTTTCAGAGATCCTCTCTCCGAGTCAGTCATGTGTTGGCTTCTAGAGATGACTTGTGATTATTTATGAGTTTAACAGACACTACGGCTATTTTGACAGGTATTTTATTGAGAGACAAGTATTCAACAGTTTTGATTTCCCGCTTTAGGAAATCTCTGAGCTTTTGAATAATTCTACTACATACCTGATTTTGTTATCACTTCAGTTGAGTCCCCTTACACGGGAACTTGGACAATGAGAGCAAACAACCTAAAGGGATACAAGTTGAGACCTTGTCAACTGTGAAACAACACATACTGAGTTCACCGTTACATCAAGCGGACGAATTCCACAAAGTGTGACAGTTACTTTTGAACCTCAACAACTGTTGTACCCTTGTAGTTTGATAGAAGTCAACTTTAGTGATAATCCAAAATCATGAATTTTTTGATTAAGGAACTAGGCAAAATACCTTAATAAGCATCACATTATTCAGATTGCTTAGGAATATGGAACTAAATGAGTCATTTCTCTCTTTCTTCGTGTATGCTGGTTGTTGTTGTATGCCAAGGCTAATTATGAAGTTATGTTCCACTGACCCTATAAGGATCAATTTGGAAGTGTTCTATCCTCTTTTTTGCATCGTTTACTTAAACTTAGATTACCTTCTCCCCAAATAACCGAGTAGAAACATCAAATAACGCCATTTCCAACCTACTTAGTGAAAGTTGACGCTTTAGAAATGGTATGCATCCAATTTTTAAAAATATAGAAGTTTATAAGGTTTTATTACTTTAGAAGTACTGATAACCAAAAGATCCTTGATACAGAACTAATTTGCTTACTGTCTTATAGACTTACAGTAAGATACTGCAGCTTGATACGTGCAGTGCTCACTCTTAGATACGCAGTCGAGTAGCTTTCTGATGTCAATGATAGAATCCACTTGTGATTACCATGTATCGTGTCCTTACCTCTCCATCATTTTCACAAGAGACTAGTTCATAGAACCTGGTGGAGCTTCCTGTATTAGTATCAAAGGACTTCGATGCAATAGGCATTTAATTATTCATATTTTCAAGCATCTTTTATACCTTCTGATACAGCCGAGATGTTTTAGTGCTTTAACTAAAAACTTTTTATGAATCCTTTGAACACCACCTGCCAAGAAGTGAATCAGCAACTGGAGTGGGTGTAGTATGAAGATACGTCCCAATCACTTTTCTCCAAGGATAAGGTGGATGGACACATGGGGTTTAAGGAGTTGTCAACTTCACTTTAATAACTCAGATACTTTCCATTCAGTTTATGTCATTACCAAAGTCGGAAGACCTACTGGAAAAGACCGTTCCAGACAGGCTGATTACTAATTAGTTTTCCACGGTTGATTTTGACTCACAGCTGACATTTGAGCA